GCCAGTCCGATGGAGCGTGATCGAGCCTAACCAAGTGCAATTGACTCTGACAGAGGCCAACTAAACCTGGCCAAAGCCGAGCCTGATCGAGCCGGAGCATAACTGAGTCCAAGTCGGACCGAGTTCAAGTATAACTGAATCCGAGATCGACTGAAGGTTCAGATGTCGATGTGTGAGTTTAGGCTAAAAGAAGACTCACAACCACAGTCACAGGGTATCATAAACATTTTTGTTTGCTCTGTAGCTTACAGATTTACAAAATCTTGTGCCACATAGACTCTATCTCAGTTTCTTCGGAAGCGCCTTTACTGTTATACATCCGTTCGAATCCAGAGCGAATGTATGGCTTCCTCCGCTCAAACTGGATGAAAATATAATGCTAATGAACTTCGGTTTGGATATTAAAATCAAGATTTCTCATTTATGACAATACAAAAGCACAAAAGTTTCGTACCATCGTCTAGAGTAAAAATTTCTCTACGATCATGTACTACAATTAGGATGTGTCTGCTAGTGGTTATCTTCTATTCACTTTCAGATCTTCACTCCCCCTCACTCGTGACATGTTGCTAATCTCCTTATTACTGTACCAACATTTCTGCGACATTTTACTCAACCAATAGCAAATCTTTTATTATCAGCTAAGTAGTGTCTGGAAGACAGAGGATGGCTATGAAAAATTAGATGGATGAATCTCCTCCACCTGATCATACATACAGTCGGGGTACAATGATCAGAACAACGCATTGTTGTTCTCAGATAAATACCGCAAGTTTTCATAACTTACCAGCTCAAGTATTCCTTTGTTGTTATCTTGTCCTAAAGTAGATAAGCTGAAATATTTGCCTTTTTTTATTCGGCGACGAAGAAGAATTTACATAATTTGGTTCGATCAAAGACTTGATATTGGCAAACCTGATTTGCAAAATTTGACTGTGTTGCATAATGTTGTTGATTTTTTCGTGCGTTTATCGATTGAGATTCCTGCTGCGAATATATATTGAGAATTCCACATAATAATGTTTATTTAATTGTCTCAGGAACAATGGGTCGTAAAATTGTACCTGTAACGCACGATTGGAGGCAAATACATGCAATTTGTGTCCTATGTCAACGAAAGCACGAACATAGGAACTGGGCATCAGCCTACGCTAAAATTCGTCCGAAAGATATTTTTTCTAATGTAAACCATCTGATTGAAAGACTCAAAATCGATTGATACAAATGTCATAAAGTGCATGGAATCGGCTACAAAAATTGAGAGATCAATTGTTGATATTCATAGCAATGAAATAGACTTTCAATGATTCTATCGTTTAACACAGACACTTATTTCGTGACCACGAAATTCTATAGCTCAGAATAACACGATTGCTCATATGTGGCATTATTACAAAGACGATCAGTCTAGTATTGAGTTTCTAGACGAATTTGCTAGAGACTACAGTGTGAATAATGCTGTTCGATGTTATACACGGATCGGTTATGTGTTACGCATCGGAAATCAAGCGTTTTGCGATGAGAATATCGATGAAATATATAAAAAATTGATCGTTCATCAAGGACCTTTCCGAGCAGCTCACACAGTACTTCACCATGAACAACGAGAATATAGGCATAATGAATATATTCTGTATAGAGGTGCTGCCTTACTGTATGACGATATCGCCGGTTTGAAAGCTAATCATGGTAAATTAATTTCATTCAATGAATTTCTTTCGACAAGTTTAGATCGGGAGATTGCATTAATTTTCGCACAATCAAACCATGAACAGGATCAAATCGAAGCTGTCTTGTTCGAATACTATGTCAATACTAGTCTTGAGACACTTGCGTTTGCTTATATTGACTCTCAGAGTGTCATTCCTGACGAGCAAGAAGTTCTGTTTAACATTGGTACTATTTTTCGAATAGAATATGTAAAATACGACTTCGGCGAATAGAAGAAAAACTAGGTAGTATTAATACAATTCTCAATCTTTCTCGTAAACTTGGCATAGCATCGAATGCAGTACGATATTTTGGCGATGCTCTTGATTGCTTCGTTTTCGGCATGTCACTATCAATGGCGTCGACACCATCAAAAATCGAACATGTTTAACTAAGACGTTAGATGCCGTTGGTAATGTGTATTTTCAACACGAGGAGTATGCAAGAGCGCTAGAATGTTGTCAGCAAAAAGCCAAACTAGCTGAAGATTTTTTCGTGGACACAATAGTTCAAGTGGATTTCTATGAAGATTTGGGAGGAATATGCATGGCACAAATTGTCGTTGATAAGACTCTCAAGTACTTCTGTAAAGCACTTGATATTTCTCACAATTTTTCTTCGTTCGAATCATCCGCAACTATATCTGCTAAACAATAACATGGGCTTAGTGCATCTTTATCAAAGCTATTCGGATTCAGCCTTTGAATACTTTACAATCGTTGCAGATTTTATTTCACAAAAACCAGAATTAAGTGTTATTAATGTAGGAGTGTATGCCAACTTTGATCTTCTGTTCCTATTGTAAAATAAATTCGATCTTTCTTTCGCGTGGTACAATAAAGCAATTGTATCACATTTAGAGCGACACCCTGCATCTTCTCATCCAAGTTTGGCTACTATGTACATTCAGACTGCTACTCTATTGACGAATCAATACAAGCCTGACGCCGCTCAAAATTTTCTCCTCAATCTTTGCATGCAGAAAAGGAGATATGACGCAAGCTTTGATTTTTATGGCAGAGGCGCTTTCCATAAGCAAAGAAGTTTTCAGTGAAAGTCTTGTAAGTGTTGCAATTACCTATAGAAAAATGAGCACCCTATGGCTTCAAATAGGAGATACTGAGAAGGCTATCGAGTTTATTGCACGATCGGTGATGATTTTGACATTGTCGGCGAGTAGCGTATCTCTTCAATTTGTGACTGCCTATGAAGTTCTAGGATGCGTATATATAAGCAGATCAAACTATCTATTATGAATGAAATACTTGAAGAAAACGATAGAGATCCGTAAAAAATAATTGTCTGAAGATCATTCTGCAATGGAGTCGACATATTTCCAACTGAGGCAAGCTTGCATGCTTCTTCAGAGATTTAATATTGTTCTGCAATACTTTCAAAAGACACTAGTTGCGGGTGCTGAATGTTGTTTAATTTACCGTCGTTTAGGTGACATACATTGCATACAAAATAAGAAGGATCACGCTTTACAGTACTACGAGAAGGTACTTGCTGGTGCAAAATTTAAATATGGAGATAATCACAGAGAAATTGCTATACTCTATTCGAGTGTAGTTGACATATATTGTTTACGCAAGGAATACAAATTAGCAGCAGAATATAATAGGAAAACTCTGGATTATTATGAAAAGGCCGTGTCTAATAAACAAGCATCTATTTCTGAATATTCACTGTATGTGGTCAGAACGCTCAATGAGATGGGCCAATATGCTATGACAATTGATTATTTTGAACGTTGTTCTATAAAAAAAGAATCTATCAGGAAGCGATTAACAAGTGTTAGAAGTTCGATGGGAGATGGCTCTTTGCTACAAATGGCTCGCCGATCAGTGCAATAAAGGAAACAGACTTCTTGTAAACCCTTAGTGTGATAAACATGTAGTTGTAATCTTAAGACAATGGTTTTCCTTGCCAGTTGATGCGATCAAAGGAATTGAGTCTTTAATTAAATAATAGCATGATTTTTTGCGTTCAAATGAACAAAAAGAGGGTGTGGGTGTGGGCGAGGAAAAGTCTTCTTGTCGGAATAGTGCATCCAAATGTACAGCCACGTTCACATAGACCCACACCCACACTCTTTTGTTAAAGCTTAAATTCAAACAGTTTTGATCAAAATATAAAACTAAATTGCATAAAAAATGTTGTATAGATGTCATCCTTGATCTCCGTCATAGATTTGCTCTAAAGATTATGATTCTATTCGGTAATTGAGCATACGTATTATACAAAAACTTCTTACATGAATCTAAGAAAGATGCGCATAACGAAAGTTGTGTACGAAATAAATAATTCATATTTATACTCCGAAAGAAAACAGCGATATAAAGAGTTAGTAGAAACAACAAAAGTTTTCATTTTATTGATAAGATCATAAATATAACAATTAGGCATGTAAACAGAGCGCGAAGGAAAAACTTTTAACTGCTTTATTCTTAAAACAACCTCCTTAATGAGAGTAAAAAGCATCAGAAAAGACTGTCTAATTACTTGTGTGTGTATATTAGAATCTTAATTTAACCATTTACGGCTGGCTGTTCTGCTCAGAAAAAATTAAGATAACTGGTATAAGGATTATGATGAAATCTTTTTATGTAAAATCAAAGTCCTCTGGATTAACAGAGTCTGATAGACAAAATTCTTCTGAAAACCTATTGATTATCTAAAACAGAATTTTTCTACAAGATTTCAAATCAATCATTAAAATATCCTCTGGAAGAGACATTCGCTGTTAAAGGGTTACGAAACAACCATTTGAAGATGATCAAAAAATTCTTTTTTGCCTTTACTGTTGAACTTATAGATATTATTCTGTGCCTTTTTTACAGTATTTCAGTTAAATTTATTTTCAATCAACTTCATTTCAATTTTCTATCTCTTCGTACTTTTATTATCTTTCGGAGTATAAATATAATTTTTTATCGCGTGTCCAAACGATCCGTGCACAACTTCTGGGATCTCTCTTACAGAGAGGTTCTGTCTTTTATTTAAATAAAGGAGATTTTTTTATTTCTGAAGGCTAATTTTTTTTTTCTCGAGCTAACTTTAATTTTTGTTTTTTAACCAATACATCATATACATAGCACAACAGCAAAAAACAAACAAACAAAAATAGATCTTGATATACATATGGGGAATACTTATATACATAAGCACAAAAAATATATAGAGATATATCTGACTTGATGATAAAGAATGGCACACATCCAATATAAATGATGATTATGCCTTAGAAATATAATTTAACATTGTTTTTTAATTTTGAAACGTTTCAATTATTCATCTTCGCTAACTTCAGGTGATGCTTCCATTTTCATAATTCGTCGTTTTTTAACAGTCGTTCTTTCATTATCAGAAGAATTGTCATTACTTTTTTGTTCATCATCTTCAATTTCACTACTTGCTGTTCGTTTTCGTTTAGCGCTCGCATCGCATTCATCGGTATTTCGACCTTCTCCTCGTAATGTTCGACCACCTTTCATATGCCCTTTAATAAGAAACGAAAAAAAAAAAGATCTTATAAAATAGTTAAAATAAAATTGACTAACCTTTAACATCAACAGCATTCGCTTGAATTTCAAGTAATTCTTTTTCAGTGTCACGTTTCTTCCGAAATTTTTCACATTCTTTAATTGATAAACTACCTAAATTAAATAATTTTAATAACAAAAAAAGAAAAATAACATGTTCGAATATCTAACCTGTAAACCCAGCTTTATTGAAAAGTGATTTAAGATAATTAATTTTAGCTTTATTGGATCGTAATTCATCTAATTCAGTTTTTTTAATAATTAATCGAATACCAGATATTCGAAGTAACTTTTTTAAACGTTCAATACGTAATTGTGCGTGATCACCTTGACTTTTTTTTTGTGATGATTTTTTTGTATCATCATTTGTTGTTGTTTGTTCATCTTTATCTTGATTTGGTGATGAATTTTTCATTGTGTCAACTGTTTTTGTTGCTGTTATTTCTTTTTTGCTTTTTCTCTTTTTTTTTGGTTTAATTTTTTCTTGTTTAGACTCATCATCTGACGATACTGAACTTGATCGTTTTGATACTTGTTTATTTTCTTCATCAGAAAGATCAACACGTGGAATACGAAGTGAAAATTCTTTCGATGTTGGTGAAGAATCATCATCTTTTTCTTTATCTTCATCAATATCACTACCTAAATCATCTAGAAATTAAAGATTGTTTTTGATTTCGATCTATATATTTATTAAGATTTTTAAAGAAACTCTTATGAAAGGGAAGGAATGAAAAAATATCTGCAATTGTTCAACGTTACTTAAGCTCATAGCTAGTCTATATGTGTGCTTCGGTGAGGCTAGTGAAAGTTTCAAAAGATTTGCATCTATGTTTTACTCTTCCTGCGTTTTGAATGTTCAATCACAGACAAACGATTGAATAATGCAAGTGTTTGCTCGTAGACTTCATTATGAGTGTAGGTATCATTGTTATTAGATTGTTTTGAAAATTTCGTTTGAAAAGAATGATTCCCGCTCGACATCGTAAATGGTCAAAACCGGAGGGGAGTTCTATTTTGACTAGACATGTGCGGAACTAAGTGTTTTTGGTCCCGATCCCAGTAACTTTTTTTCTAGTGGTTCCACACATCTCTAAGTCTGATTTTTGCCTATGAAATATCAAAGTTTCCTGATCATTCAATATCTGAACAAGGACCTGTTTTCTTTTTTTCAAGTGAAACTTCTAGAGCAATCTAATAACAATGAGACCTATTGATGCTGAAATTTTCGTTCAAATCTGCCTTATTCAACTGTTTGCCTGTAGTCGAAAATTCAATAAAACATTCAAGACTTTGGAAAGACAATGAATGAGCACGAATTCATTTAAGCAGACGAACATGTCATTTTTGTTGTTAGAAATGGCTTTCTTTTGCTTAGAAGTGATTGCATATCATTCAACAAAATCACTTTTAAGATAATGAAGCATTTCAGGCAAAAAACGAATTTTTCAGCCAAAAACTCTTGAATAAAATCCTTGGCGATGTTTTCTCGAGAAACTTCTTTATAATAAAATATCTTGTGATATACATCGTCCGATGCAACTGCGCGCGTCGATTCTAAATATACGATCAATTTTCAATAGAAATGTTTCAGAATCTGAAAAACTTGCTGTATAGTTCAGTAACGTTTATCCTAACTGTAGTGACAAAGAACACAGAATAGAACATTTTGACACTTTGGATTGGCGCTAAAGTGTGTGCATTCGTCTTGTCAAATTTAGCCATTCGAAAATTATCTTAGAAAAAAAATTCTTTTATTGGCTTACAAACTATACATTCAGATTATAAGATTTCTTCAATAATTAATATCCGACGATATACAGATTTGGAACATCTACGGAACGTGTCTTTTAGGTGATTTAAAATTAATTTTCTCATCGACACCAGTGTTTCCAGTCTAATTTTTGAATTCCCATTGTTCCGCTCTCCTTAAAACTCGTAACAAAACTTTTTACGCCATTAGATAGAATATGTTTCAAAGTACATTTATCATTATTTGAATCAATGAAAGAGTGGCTTTAGTTTATTCGCCTGGATGTATACTATGCAATGTACGACAGTTTGAGATGCTCCCTTGTTACTTTAAGAACAAACATATTTACTTACAATGTGCAGATTCTTGCGACGTTTTTGTTATTTCGTTCGATTCTTCTTTTTTATCATTGGTTTCTGTCAATGGATCAGTATTTTCTTTATCGGTTTCTGCTTTTGTTGGTGTTGTAGTTGTAGTTTCAACAAAAGATAATTTTCGATTTGATCGTATTGGTTTAGCTGAAGCACTTTTAATCATAGCATCAAGTTTACTTGCATTTGATTCAACTGATGAACGTGAATATGCTGATTGACGTATTAAATTAGATCGTTTAGCAAGCCAATCAGTTGAAACACCGAATTTTTTCATATTATTTAAAAAAAGTGGTGAAAATGGTTTTGTTATTGTTAAAGATGATGCTGTTGATGGTTTTTCTGAATCACTTGATGTTTCATCACTTTCACTTTGTTCTTTGATTTCTTCTATTTTATTCAAAAATAAAAAATTCTTTTCTTTTCTAATAAAAATAGAAATCATATTAGTTCACTTGGTAATTTGATTATTGAACGACGTTTCATTGTTGGTGTATCGCTTTCATCACTATCTTTTAGTTTTACTGTATAAGATATTGGTTTATCTTCGTCGTCGTCAACATCATCATCATCATCATCATCATTATCAGCCATAAGAAATGCCTGAATAATAAATAGAAAATATTTAATTAGAAAATTTCTATTAGTCTACTTGAATTGCTTTTAAAAGAATCGATTGAAATTCTTTATCTTCATCAGATTCTTGAATAATTGGCTCTTCACCTGAACGAATATTGTATATATCTCGAATTTGTCGTGTAGTTGAACAACTTGAAAAAGAAACGAAGAGATTATATTCTATCATACAAAAAAAGAAATGTATATGTTTATACCTAGGATCCTCTTGTTCACGAAGAATAATTTCAATTAAACTGGTATTAACCATGATTTATTAATAAAAAAACAAACAAATAGAAAATCTAAAACAAAAAAACAACACAAGACAATTCAAAACAGTTTAAGTTGTTCTTTTTCGTTTTCTATTCGATCCAAGAGACAATGAATCTTTTAATTTTGGTTTATTTATTGGTGTTTCAAGTGTAGCAACACTAGTATTCGCTACTTTTATTATTTTGCAACCAAGTTCAGTGAATATATCTTGTAATCTAAATGAAAATTCAGAATAGTATCTTTATATAACTAGATAAAACATATATCAATTGATTACTTTGATAATGCTATCGAACTGCCCAGCGATAAACGTAGACTATCGATATCTACCGTAAAGCGACACATATATAAGGCTAAGATGCATATATGTGCAGTTAATTTTAATCGAAGACGAGGTGGTACAGTACTAAAACAAAAGCATTATAATTAAGAAACGATCTACCTATAAAATATAACTTCTTCTTTTTTTTTACAGGTAATTTCGTATAATAAAACTGTCCAAGAGATTTTCTCGATTTATAAGGTTAAGACAAGTAGTAAATTTATTATTCAAGTCAAAGCTTAAGCAAAAGAAGATAGATGTATGGATAATCATTTGTGCAATTAATAGAAGCAAAATATTTCGAACCGACAAAGTCAACTATCATTTTCTCGAGGTCAAAAGTTAAACACAAAAGTAAAGAAATGATCAAGAAAAAAAAGAAATTAGTTCAGCATTTAAAAAATGGAGTCCGTCTGTCTAGTTTACTTTTCTGCTCTAATTACATAAACTTATTCAAAAATATCTATTGATCTTTGTATTACCGCATACCATCTGATGCGATCTCGGTCTAATCTATTCGTACCGGTTCTATCTCTACTCGATATTACATATGTATAAAGTTCGTCAGGAACAATACTCGTTCTATCTGATGTTCGGAATACTAAATTTTAGAATAACAACGAAGCATCTTACTTCTGAAGTTTAATAGTTATTGGGCAACATACTGTTTTTCATACGAAGCATTTCCAACTGAACGGGATATACGTCTAAAATCATACCATACACGTTCTGGCTTTTCTTTTCTCCAAACTATATTTTTAATCAACGAGATTAGTACTCAAAGAAGGAAGTCATCACAGCTAGTTGACATTGCTTCGTGAAATGTATAACATACATGATGTACAATATACAGGTCAACGAGTATTTTTTTTACGGTACTTTCTAATTGAACGAATGACTTGGTTTTAACAACATATACTTTTTCTTATCCGTGTGAAAAAATTCTCTATCTAATTAGTATAAAATTGAAAAAAGTATACTAAAAACAAGCAAAAAAATGGTGATCCATTTATAATGCGTCACTAGTTAATAAAGATCTCATTAATCTTCAAACTAATTTGAAGCTTGAAAGAATCATACTTTATACTTGTTCTATCTTAACATTATTATAAAGCAAACTTTTTAAATCCATTCGGATGTTTCATTTCTGAGAATGAAAAATCAACAAATCAATTTTATACTATCTTACTTGTCTTGTTTTCGTGTACGTTCATTAATATTAGCAATAGCATAGACACGTAAAGCCTTATCTTGTAAAGCACGAGGTGCATCATCAGGAAATGGTTCTAAATATAAATAAATCAAATTTCAACAAGAATTTTAATTTTTTTTCATAGAAAAGTTTACTTCCAGATAATCGTTTAAATATTGAACGTTTAAAAAAAGCAATAAGATAATGCAAATAAAGAATTTTCGATGCACATTTTACACGTTCAGTATGATCAATGGGTAACTTTTTCATTTGATCACATACAAATGATGCATAAGTACCTTCTTTTGACCATTTTTGTATATCATCTTTAGTTGAATCAACTATTTGACTACATTTATCATTTAATAATAATAAATCATTTTCATTTAGAACTAATAAAGGACAGAAACAAAATTAAATAAACAGCTTAGGATATATCAAAAGTAGTGCCAGATATATTTTAATTCCTTGTAAAAAGTTTAAAGAAACTTTCTTTCTAGACAGTCTGATAATAAAAACAAGGCTAATTTGGCCCTGATTTGCCAACTAATTAAGATAAGCCAAACAAGTAACAGAAATAGTTTATTATTGTGCTATATGTTGAAAGACTAAGCGACATAGGTAAATAGTAAAGAAAGAACAATTATAACACGATAGACTTCATTTCTTTGAGAAGCAAATTTTTACCGTACTACCGGTTTCGATGGCAAATGATACTTTGTCGAGCTTTTCTTTCTCATCTTCTTGGGCCAGATCAAAACTTGTAAGTATCAATTGCGTAGAGTCTTCTCACAAGAAATTCAAGTATTATATTTATCTTCAACTTAAATTGTTATTATTATTATTTTTGATTGGAAGACTAATGTCCGCGCCAGAATAAAAGAGGGGTGAGTGTAAGCTCAATAACTCGACAACCGCAATACCTAGCTACCTGCGGTTTTCACNGAACTTCAAAGGCTATCGAAATCACTATTTAGATTTGATCTAGCTATTCGTCTTCATTGAAAAATCTCAACGACAAAAGGGGGTCTATAATTTTGATAAGCCCTGTAGAACTCTTATGTCATCGTTGTAGTGATTGTATGATAGATATAAGTGAGATACGACTTAAAATATGAAGAATGATTTATGGCGGTCTACCAGCTCATTTGATTCATTCTGATCATTTCGAGCGATAGACTTCCGCAGGAGCATATACTTATGATGGGTGCGTAATACCTGTCTTACCGATTCCAACTCTGATATCAAAAAGAAATCCAATATTAGTAAAACAAACAGAAAACAGTTTAATAATATTTACAGTTGAAATTTTAGCCACTGTTATTTTCATTCTTCCTTTTCGAAAAATATCACCTTTGGCATAAAATTCATAATCATAAATAAAACCAAGTTCTTGTAAAAATGATTGAATATTTTTTGTTACACAGCAATCATGAAATTGTCGTACACTAACACTTTGACTTTTATCTAATTCAGCCGAAGCAACATAACGTAAATGATATATTGGATTAGGTAAATCATCAAGTGCATAACGAACGCGTAATGATACATTCGATGCACTAGGAATTCGAAGAGTATATACTATCTCATGATCATCGAATTGTTCGACTTCGCCTAAATAACAAAGAATTTCAATGAAAGTTATATTATTCTAAAGATTAAAACAAAATTAAACGACGAACAAACCAGTAATATTATCACATAGTCCCTGTAAACGGGCTTTAAGTAAATGAACAGAATCATCTTGAATACTGCCTTGAAGTACATATTCTAATGATGGAAATGCACGATTTTGAGTAACTAAAAGTTGTGCTGGATCCATTTTGTTGTTAAATTAAATTTTGAAACAGAAGAAATAAAAGAATCGATTCTAATTTCATTGGTTATTTTCAAAATTCAATAAAAACTAACTGATATAATCTAAACCGAAAATAAACTATTCATCCATGAAAAATTAATCTTTAATTTTATTTTTCGAATAAATAAGAGATCTCGAAATCAATCCAACAAAAAAGAAAACCTTTTTCAATAGATGTCGTTAAATTTCATATTATATAAATTATTCTTTTTTAATATTCATTTAGATCTATTAATAGATTAATTCTTAAGTGTTGAAAATAATTTATAGCAAAAACAACCAAAGTTTCTTTTTTTATTGGTTCTATTTTAACTAACATAGGTCAATCAACCACCATGTGATGTGATCCAGGCTCATGCGAACAACGTATGGGATAGATGATGATGAGAACAAGAGTCCAACAATTTTTTCTTTCCTCCAACTCGTTGTTGTATGCGTAATTATTTGATCAGCAATCTCGTCGTTTTCTTACTTGCTTGACATATCTGTCTCGTGCCCTGTGCCAACTATCGTCACCAAAAAAAGCAAAAAAAAAAAAAAGAACGCTAACGAAGAAACATTTTCTTCGTATTCCTCAACAACATCGCACACAGACAACATATCTTGTGTGTACTTTAATTAGAGAAAAAGAAAAACAATGATTGATTTTCTCACATTTTCAACACCACCACCAACAACAACATTAACTTGATTTTATATCTTGTTTGCGTTAGTTTTTGTTTTTGTTTTAAATCGAAATTCTTTTGTCTTGTTTTCATTCAAGGTTATAGAATATGTATAAAGTACTCACATCATTGTGGTCTAAACCATCAACATCTAAAAATAATAAAGCTCGATTATCATCTGTTAATTCATCGGACATATCAATTGACGAAGATGATTGGGTTCTTGTTTCAGATAATGGTGAGATTTTTTTCTTTTTTTTGAATAAATTATTCTTTTAATTTTTTAACTTTTTTTTTCGTCGATAATTTTAGTATCAAAAGTAACTTCACCAAATGATTATAATAGTATAATGACAAATAGTTGGGTAGCATCACCACCTTTGATGAGAACTGATGAATCATCATTTGCAAATAGATCGTCATCACCAACTACACATCATTTTAACCCAATTGAAAATCTACTTATCGAACATGCGAGTACGAGAAAAAAAAAAGATTAATATCTAGTAGTACATTTTGTTTCTGATGTTTTTACTGTTTAGGTATGAGTGTTTACGAACAAATAGCTTCGCGAACACGTTCTAAACGTCATCGAAAAACTGTTAATAATAATCTACTTGATGAACAAGTTGAAGAAGATAAAGATGATGGTGATGATGATGATGATCGGTCGTCTGTTGTTCTTCAAGTGAGATTATCGATTCATTTGAATTTGAAAATTTTATTGATTAACAAATGTTGTTGTTTTTTAAATATTTTTCTAGTATCCATCTCAACATCCAAATTTATCTTCAATTCATCATCGAAATTTAAATGCATCATTATGTCATTCAACAAATTCATCAACATCAACACTTGAATCATCAACATCTTCACTTATGGCTCATCATCGTCATTTACATCGTATGCATCAACGACGACGACGATCAGTTAAAACATCATCAAAATTAATTTTAACAAATAGTATTGATGAAACAAAACACACGTCGAATAAAATTCTTGAACGACAACGTTTAAATCATGCTCGTACACCGAAACTTTTTCTTCATCAACCATCTCGTTCAAATCATTAGCAGAATACAAAATTTAACAAAAGAAAAAAATCTCGCGTTTTCTCAATATTACAGTAAAGAAAAAATTTTAAAAAAAATTATGTACGTATAATATTTACCGTGTCATTCCACTTTTTTGTGTTTTGTTTTTCTTTATACATATTTATTTATATATATATATGCATATTTATCCTTGAATTTGTTCATATTGCTTCTTTTCTATTGACATTTTTCTACACCAGTGTATTTCTGTATATACGAAAATGCATTTTTTCCTGTATTTCAGTTTTTTTTTTGGTCTTTTTTTTGGTGTTGTAACGTCAGTGTTTTGTATAGCTTCGACGAAACAAAACGAAAAATGTTTAAAAAAAAATCGCTCGCTTTTTCCCGTCTATTTTCTGTTGTATGTCTGTATTTTTTTTAGCATTTCTATCGAATCTGAGCCTATGGGCTGATACATAAATTTATATATTCTTTGCATATGCATGTTTTTTTCGTTTCTAGTGCTTCTCTCTTTCTCTTTCGCTCCTCATGTGTTACCTGTACATAAAACCTTTCTTCCTCTACGATTCAGTTTGTAAGAGCAAAAGAAAAAAAAAGAATGGTAAATTATTTCTGAAATAAAAAGGTGACGTTGTGAAAAAAGAAAAAAAATGTATTTGTTTTTTCTATCTTCTATGAATCATTGAAAAAACTATTAAATCAACAGTTATTCTAGATTTTTATTAGAATCAAATGATTTGAACCAATGGAAATAAATACAGTACATGACCAAGGTGACAGATGTTTGCATAACGAAGAGAAAGAAAAAATCACTCATGTACATTATTTGTCTCTTTAGATTCAATATTATTGCCGTCTCGTTCATTGATCGAGACTACAACGACGGTAAATAACTCTATAGTCGATAATATGGTCTCTAATGAACATCAGCAAAAGAATCATCCTCTATCAAATTTATCCCTTTTAAAATCATATTCATCATTACCACCTCAACATCCAATTCGATTTATTGGGTTATCTGCACAAGTTTTTTTTTATTATTTAGGTTATGGGTATTTACAAGTTCGTTTTATTAATATAAAACATTAAATTTTCATAGAAGTCTTTATTAAGGAACTTTTATTCACATTGGAAGGTTTTAAAAATACATCTTGGTTTTTATCATGTTATCAATTTTTTATTTATGGTGTTCTTTCATTTATTCAAATTGGTTTTGTTGGATTAAGCCAACGAAGGTATTTGATAATTTGAAAGTTTGATTTTTTGAAACTATTTTGAATTCTAGAGCAAGTTATCGATCTTATTTAATTCTCGCTTCACTCAGTGTAGCTACTATGGGTTTATCAAATCATTCAGTTGGCTATTTAAATTATCCGTAAGAAAATATATATATGAATTTCTTTTATTTTTTAAAAATTATCAAAATGCATATTAATTCAGTACACAAGTCATGTTCAAATGTTGCAAATTGATACCGGTACTGATTGGCGGCATTATTATTCAAAGTAAAACGTTAAAATAAATCTAAAAAAAAGTAAAATTATGTGCTTCTTTATTTGTTTTGTTAAGAAAAAAAATTTAATCGTTATGATGTTGCTGCTGCTTTTTGTATGTCAATTGGATTAGTATTTTTTACTTTAGCTGATTCAAAAGTTCGGCCAAATTTTAATTCATACGGTATAATTAATATGAAAAACAAAATTATTTGATGAAAATCATTATTTTTCAGGTGTAATTGTCATTTGCTCAGCTCTTGTTGCTGATGCTATTATTGGCAATTATCAAGAGAAAATTATGAAAACGCATCATGTTTCTAATGTTGAAATAGTAAGATAAAAAGAAATAATATATATATATATTTATTTATTTTTATCAAACTATTATAATTATGATTATTTTTAGGTATTTTATAGTTTTATGTTTGGTTTTTTTATCATTTTAACTGGTCTACTATTAACAAATAACTTCTTTTCAAGCATGGTTTTTTGGAATAAGGTTTTATGTTTTGTCTAATTTAATAGTATTTATTTTCATCTAAAATGATTACATAAGTTTACAAAATAGATATTGAGTTCAAGTTGTTCATATTAGAAAAACAAAAAACCTCAGTCGGAAATATTAGTATGCATACCAATGAATGCATTTAACAAGGAACTTTTTGAAGATCTCTTGAGTTTCCTTTGATGTTATTTAACTGCGTATTAGATATATTCAGGGTTATTCTACCGTGTTGAGTAGGATAGGATAAAGACAAAAGTATTACAGGGCAGAGAATAAACATTCATGATAGAGATATGAACTACATCCTGATTGTAGACACTGTGTCAATGTTCGAAAAATAGAGCTAGAGGGAAAAGAGAGACAAAAATGGTCACATTGTAGAATCAAGATATTATTTATTATGTGAAAAAAGATCATTAATGAAATATAATTGAGTACCTAATATTTATTAGATTTAAAATCAAGATCGTTCTTGTCACTTGTATCGAATACCTTAATATATCAATAAAAAAAAACAGCGCAATCTTTTTTTTGATGGCTATCAATATTCAAAAGATCATTTAAATAGTCTTGCTTTGTTCGAATCAAAATATTTTTATTTTGCCATTGATGTGGCTCATCTACGATGTTTCGAACGTTGTTGAAATTGTTCTTGTTCAACCTAAACTATTGTTGTTTCCTCTAACTTCTGGATATATCTTATCTGGGTACAATTGTTTGGATATTTTTGACAATGAGAATTTAATTGATTATGATATCCTTCTACGCACTTGTTAGTTTTTTGTCATAGTCCAATGAAATCAAAATAAATTCAAGAATGAAAGAGGAAATAGAGTATCTGCAATAATAATATTACGAAATACTCTGTTAGTTTCTCATAAATCGAGCTGTCTACACTGATCATCTAAGTATATCTATTTTTGTTTGTTTCCATAATGGGGACATGTTTTTCTTTCTCCTCTCAGTTCTACTTTGCGGACATGTTTTCTTCCGATTAAGGAAAAATGTTCCCAAATAAGAAGATACAGAATGATCATTTTTAGTTACATTAATTTGCGTGCAGTTACTTTAATTGGGCGATAAAAGTCAGTCATTATACTATATAATTATACTGATTCGATAGGAAATATATATGGATCTTTAGTTTAGCTTATTTTTCTTCTATTATTTATTATCTTTTCTTACACTGATTTACTTGTATTAGTAAATTGAATTACAAAAGATTTTGTATTTATCTATAAATAAATATGTCAAATAAATTAGCCAAAAAAAAAAACACAAATTCAAAGAACGAAAAAAAAGTAACTTTATCATCTATTAAAGAAGACAGATTATGTACAATTAATGAATCATTAATATCTTCAATAAGAGAATTTCAGTTGAATTTACTGCGAATAAATGAGTTGAATGATATATATGAATTATTTGTTCAATGTATAATTTGTCAAAAAAAAGAAAAATAATATCGTATGACGTGAAAAACTGGAAAAAATTCACTTAATCTTCATGGATGTGAGATAAAAGAAGGTTCCCAGTCTCACTCATACCTACATACTTTAGAATATTTCAGCTATGATAAGAAAATTTTTTATCAGTCAGGACAAAAGAAAACAATTACCTCGGGTATTTATGCTGTGAATAAACAAAGTTTGAAGATGAAAATATTGTTGAAGAAACGCGCTTCGAATGATTAGTTTTAATGCATTTTTCCCCAGAGCACATTCAACACTACGTAGAAATGAAAGATTAAATTTGAACGAATGTTTATTCTATTGAGATTTAACTTCAGATTTGTTATGTTTTGCTTTGAGACACAAATTATTATTATTTGAATCTCACTAATATTCAATTTTCGAAGATTTATCGATTGATATAATCTAATTTAACAGTTAATTGATAGATTAATATCTTGGACTGGTTAGTTTTCGTTTCGTCGAAAAGATAAATTTTACCTAATCAATGAAGAATAGATTATATCCTTTGATAAGATTTCTTCGTCATATCAATCAGGAATAGCGCCTATTTATTTGTCGATACATTTGTTAAAAAAATTTTATTATAGAGTAGATTTGGATACATAAATAAGAAATTATTAAGAGAAAATATGAACATAAAAAAAGAAAAACATCAATACTTCTTTATTCCGATTAATCGCATAACTTTTTCAAGATATTCATCTAATGTTAATGTTTGTTGTTTGTAACGTTCTTCTAAATTATGTAATCGTGTATTTCGATTTACAAACAACTTTTTTTGTGGAGGTAATATACCAGTTGCTAAATGATGTGATGATATTACTGACGAGGGAACATTCCCAAGTATCCTCTCGCTTTTCAAGCGAAACCTAGTGGGTTCTAGGTAATCGAGTACGCTGATTCCGAATATCATAATGGTTTTTGCCGCTAGGCCTTCTAGACCTAGTTTTCTGGAAAACCAGGTTTCAGGTCGAAAAAATTTTTTGAGCAAAAAAAATTATTGTGACCCCTCTATCGTGTAGAGCACGTCGAGTTATGTATAAAACTATATTTTTTTCTGATTTAAATCCTCTACCTAATTTTCAAATTTCACCAAGAAAGATTTTTTAAAAATTTATTCACTGAAAAAACCTGTATTTTCCAACAGCGCTTCGTTTGTCTAGCTTTATCCTTTTTTTAATTTTTACAACTGTATAGATTTTAAAGCAGGAGAAAATGTAGTTTTAAACATAACTCGACGTGCTCTACACGATAGAGCGGTCAAAATAATTTTTTTTGCTCAAAAACTTTTTTCGACCTGAAACCTGGTTTTCCAGAAAACTAGGTCTAGAAGGCCTAGCGGCAAAAACCATTATGATATTCGGAATCAGCGTACTCGATTACCTAGAACCCACTAGGTTTCGCTTGAAAAGCGAGAGGACACTTGGGAATGTTCCCTCGTGAGTTATAAGCATAATCATTTTGAATTGCACGAATGAATATAGCAAAAAAAAACGAATTGTCCCTTTTACTCCACATGTGTATACTTTTACAGAATTTCAGATAAATACTATAGGGATATCAATTAGTTTCTTTTTAAGAAAATAGTTCAATTTAATCATAGATATTAAGCTTTTCATTTTGATTATGATCTTTTCATTACAATTTAATTTTTCGACGAAACGAGAACAGTTGTTTTTTTCATTTTCGACGAAACGGGAAAATCAATTAGTGTTTCGACAAAACGAGAATCTACCCTTGGACTATTGAAAATCTATTTCGTTGTATTATAATTGGACATTGAATAATTATAATGAACTGTTCTAAATAAAATTTTTCTTTAGCATCCTCTTCCAACTTACGGTTATGGTTTACTATTTTCTCTTTTTGGTTATTTGGGTATGGATATTGTTTTAACATTGATAAAAGAATACGGTGCATTAATCTGTGTTACTGTTACAACATGTCGAAAAGCAATAACAATCATATTATCATTTGCACTCTTTTCAAAACCATTTGTTTTCGAGTATGTATAAGTTTTATGTTAATAATTAGATGAATTTTTTGTGTTCAATTTTTTTGTTTTTTTATTAGTTATGTTTGGTCTGGTTTAATTGTTGTTTTTGGTATATATCTTAATGTTTATAGTCGAAATCAAGCAGCATTTAATGCTAAATTTGCATCTTATACTAATAGTTTATTTAATTTCTGTTGGTGTCCAAAGTTTTCAACATCAATCACATCTCGAATATTACCTGTTTAATTAGTTTAATATTACTCAATGTTTTTCTTTTAAGAAAAGCTATAGCAACATTTTTTCGTTTATTAATTAAAAAATCCAGCAAGTGTAAATAAACACATAAAGAAAAAGAATGCTCTATAATTCGATAGAATTTGTCAGAAATTTTATAATAAATGAGTTATAATATAATTTTTATTCATATCAAACATCGTAATTGCATTTTATGCCGTTTAAGATTTGATTAAGAATATACAATATTGGAAAGCGTTAATGTTTGATTTTTTATTATGCATTCTATAAATAGAAGTACTTGAACTTTGTGCTACTTAAATAGAAAAGAATGAGATAAAAAAAGACATTGATCTAGAAAATATTAATTATTGTGAAACTCAAATAACTTCAGTTTTCTTGTATTTAAAATAAATCTATCGTCATAATTCGAAAGTACATATTACTCCTATTCTGTTTCATAGTTTATTGTTTTTATTTTGAACATTATTACTATCATTGAAATTATGATATTCATAAAAGATGAGTTTTTTTCTGAGAATTCAAATCGAATGAATTTTTTTCTAGATTTTTTAATCTTATATTTCACGTTATTGAATATTCTATCGAATATTAATTTTGATAATGATTTATTTATGTAAAATTGATTTTCTTCATGTAAATGGTGTTTTTAACATACTTTGATATTGTAAAAGACATTAATAACTATCATAGATTAATTTTTTTATTATCAAAGTTTTACCAAATTCATGAAAATAAAAAACATCAAATTTGCGAATGAATCATCTATTTATGATAATCAAGAATAATTGTTTTAATAGTATTTAACGTTTTTTTCTTTCTTAAATGATGATCATCATCTACTTCAATCATTAATGTTGGATGTTTATTTGATAAACGAAGTTTTTGCATATATTCACGACTTGTTTCAATCGGTACAACGTCATCATGTAGACCATGAATAATTGTTACAGGACACGTTATTACAATAGGATAGGGTGGATATGTTTGAAGATCACGAAAAAATTCATAATTAATTGGTTCATCACATTGTGTCATTGGATTAAAATAATTCATAAATCCATTATTTCTCCACTGTTCTATATTAAGTTTCGATATCCATCGTTGGATAGGATTAAATGCAGGTGCAAGAAGAAGTAATGAATGAACTAATTGAGGTTGTCGTTGAGTTACAAGTGTGGAGACAAGACCACCAAATGAACTACCAATAAGAAACCAAGTAGAATTTGATTCTATATTTTACAAAAAGACAATAAATAAATAAAATTTTAATGAAATTAATAAATCTTAGTACCAATAATCTTCTTTTCGACATGATCAACCATTTTACTAAGACATTGCTCACGAAAACAAGGTATATTCAGATCAGGTAAATCGAGTGATACGTTCAATTCATTTTGAAACCATTGACGTAGTTGAACACCTTTAGTAGATAATGGTGAACTAGAAAAACCATGCAGATAGGCAAATCTTATAGCAGTTGTAGCAAAAGATTTGTTAGCCATGTAATCAAGAGTATTTTTTTTATCAATACTGAATGGACGAAACAAGCAACAAATTGTCGATGAGTATGACTTTCATATTGGATATTAAAAAAGAGGGTGCAAGTATATCATATTTTCTCGTACTAATGAATAGAAAAATCAATTATTACTTTTCTTTCATTTAAATTTTTTATTAATATTCTTTAATATATTGATGTTGTAATAACCATTCAGAATATTATTATTTATTATCTGATGTATCATTCCTTCTGTATTGACATGATCTTCCTACAAAAAGAAACAATTACAATCGATAGTCAATTTTCATATATCTTGATGTTGTTAAATCAAATATTTTGTCTAATAAATTTTGTTTTCAATTAGTTTAAATATTTATTTTTATTGACAGCAAAATCAAACTACATTTTTTTGTTGAGATTTATTATCGTTCTTTTATCATCAATGTTCTGCTAATTTAATCGATAAATTAAAATATGAAATAAAGTTCTTATCGAATTACGACACTCCATTTACACCAACAATTAATATTTTAACAAACAACAGAAAATCAATTGTAAAATCCTTGGCTAATCATTACATTCTGATGCTGAATAGCACACTGGAAAAGAGACTATTTTCTCATTTTTCACATAATCGTGCATCGATCAAATCCATATATCAGTTATATGTATGAGGGCATATAGTGAGGTACCGAAAATGATAAGTGACTATTACATACATGTATAAAAAAAACTCCAAGTTTTGTTCGTAGTGATAGAAAAGTGAATTCCTAAAAATGATGAAAAATCATGTAAATGATCATTATGAACCAAATACTGATATTTCATGGTCCCAAAAACAACTATGATGCCAATTGAAAGACCATAGGATTTCTTCACTAATGATGTTAGAGTAGTGAGACCTTGAATTGCTGAAACTTTCAGCTTTGGTGATGAAAGTCACTGTAAACGTAGGAAATATCTGGTGGAACTACCCGCACGTATACCTAAGGCACTCAATAGTGGTTTCATGAATTTATCATCAAAATATCGATCAAGTTAAATATTTTTATTTCACACAAAATTCGATTCGATCAGAGAGGGAAAGAGTTCACTAGACCGACGCCATACTTCTACAACAGATGCACTTGTTGCGATAAAAAGCTAGATTTTAAAAAACTTATATTTTGAATTTATGCCTCATTCATATTAACCAACTCACTGGCAAAAATATCGCTGCTCGTCACTCTTCCTGAGTCCAAAAGAACAATGTGCATAAAAGATATTCTTTAATTCACAACTATTTGAATGTTCGAGTATTTATAAATACTCTTATGCATGTGTGTGTTTATTA